TATGGAATAAGGGAAAAACATTCGGCAACATCAGAAGCAGAAGCGTCGCGATCTGGCAACATTGAAACAAGTTTCGAGAAGGACCACGTGTATCGACAGAAGGCGAGAAGAGAAAATTTACATACTTAAGTACTAATAGTTCACGAAAATTATTATTTTCGTGAACTATTATTACTTAAGTATGTAAAAATTTATTACATTTCCTGTTGTGCGAGGTTTTACCCAATTCTCGAACCGTGTCAGAGTAAATCCGTGCTATAAAAGTACCGTGTTATACGGGGGATGGTACCAATTCTCGAACCGTGTTAGAGCGAATCCGTGCTATAGAAGTACCGTGTTATACGGGGGATGGTACCAATTCTCGAACCGTGTTAGAGTGAATCCGTGCTATAGAAGTGCCGTGTTATATGGGGGTTACCTGTACTAGTGAGTACATACTTTGAATTGTAATAACTATAACATTAGAATAGAGCTGTGTAGATACAGTACATACTTTCCCTCTGTTATAGTTAACAGATGGAGAGTATGGCAATCGATCAAAAAATGAAATCCCAAAAATTTTACATTTTTTGAAAAATAAAACCTCGTAACGTTCATAAAATACAAAAATGTTCTGTAGTTTTTTTTTATGTATAGGTTTTAATGTGTCTCTGTGTGTATGTGAGGTGTACAATTTTGTTCACCAGGTATGAAGCTTAACTTCCGTGCTTTATGTAAAAAATTTCTGAAATTTTGCATGGAGGTTTGTGTATTAGAGGGATTGATAGTATTAAATTTTGCTGATTGTACGTGAAATGAATGGTTGGAAACATAAGGGTGGTCGTGTGTCGTATTCCAAGTAAGGCTGAACTTAATAGCCATTTTACGAGTTATTAGCATTGAGAGTTTTTTTTTTATAAATCCCATCTCTACCATTAAATTTTTTTCTTTGTGACAAGTCGTATACATTTTTATTAGATTTTAAATATTTTGAAATTATTTTTGTAATTTGAAAAATCTTATGAGCCAAATAATACAAACATGGAAATGGTAACTATCTTACGAGTAAAATGAATTAAATAAAATATAGGAAGGAAAATAACGCAGTATTTATTTTGAGTAGAAATTTCTTTTACAAAAATTAAACTCTTCATTTATAAATCTCACGTATATCATATAAAACATTATTTTTTTTCATAATATTGAATATATTATAAGTGACATTCGCAATATCACTTTATCATTGAATAAGTGTTTCGTATTTTCTTTCAAATGATTAACATTCATATCTACAGTCGAATTATTTGTGCCAAGTCATTATTTTTAACAAGTGTTTATATTTTATTGTAAATTTGACATAGATATTTTTTCGAAATATTTATCTGGTATTATATACAATTTCTTTCTGCTACATAAATGCGTTAGTGCAGTACAGTAATTATATATTAATACTATAAATTCATACGGGATATTAAACTATTTAACTGTGCCTGAATTGTTTTTTATAATTTTAACATTTTTTATTTACTATGATATTTTCAGCTCATAAATAAATAATTTAGGGGAGATCGGGGCAACTTCGGCATGCGGGGCAAGTTTGTCAAGCGCTTTTTTTTAAAAACAAATTAAAAGGAGACTTTGGTTATAGGTTAGGCAGTTGAGTTTTATTGGTGGCTTGTTGAGTGTAGTGTTTTTATTGTTCTCCAACAAGCGTAGTTGAATTATCAAGCAAATTTTCATTTTCGTTCAATTCCATATAATATTTTTTTTCCATTTATATTGAATTGGCAGGTTTTGTTATAATTCCATGATAACGAAAGTTACTTTTCCTGTTAGAAGGATGTAACTTCAACTTATTCACGTGGCCAGATCGTGGCTTGGCATTCTGTTCTCAGGGTTGTACTTAATGTTTCGAAATCATGACTAGCGGGGTAAGATCGGCAACATAAAGCCACATTAGAAGCAAAGGATAAAAATCAAACAGATGATAAATGAAAACATGTTTGCATTTGTTATTCATGTATATATGTCTTTGAACTTGCATTTCGTTGTAATAATATTAAATGGGTGTTGGATTTGTATTTCTTTGTTTTAATAGTGAATTCCAACTTATACATTGTTAATAACATAATTTTATATACGTGCCTATCTTGCCCCATTACTGTTGCCCCTATACCAGGGGCAACTTTAATAAAAATAATTAAAATAATTACAACTTTACAAAAAGAGAGAAGTTGCCGATCTTGCCCCTATACCCGGGGCAACTTCGTCAATTTCTCTCTTCTTGTAAAGTTGTAATTATTTTAATTATTTTTATTTCCAAACTGATTTTAACCAGTTCTATAGTAAAAAAACATTCTAATAGACAATATGCAAAGCTTTTTTTTTCAGTTTACAGCAGTATTTATTACACAAAATTTAAGTAAAGCTTAACATGCCGATCTTGCCCCGGTCTCCCCTATAGGAAAAACTTCATACAAAGTAAATTGTTGCATACAATGTCAACTTAAAGAATTATTGGGCCTGTCTCTACCAAGTAACGTAAATATGCTGTTTAAACAATACGAGGTCAATATCCTCACAAAAATTTAAACCAAAATGCACAGCTGGAGAGAAACTTGGTGCTGCTGAATGCTTAATGTGCGTATTATATACGTTCTTAATGATTAATCGAACATTCATCTGCTGCATCTTTTTATATTAAAAAAATTCTGTTTATTGTTTAAACTATTATTCCTTTACCCGTTTATCTTCATTTATATTCTTGATTTATTAAGAAATGAAATATTATATTAAAAACCTCTTACAATAAGTTGCTACACTTTCTCCCAGAACGTTTGATGACGATATTTTATTATTACAAACTTTTTACTTTCTTAACTATAATGAAGTTGGAAAATGTTTAACATTCAGAGTAGAATGAATTGTATAAACAATTGTAAATGGCAATAACGAATAAAATCGTCATTATGTCAGACCCTACTCGAGATATAACACGATCCCCATTATCTTTCGAACCCCTCGAACTTTATTCACTAAAATTTACTTCAATTAATTAGTTTCATACACAAACTTCACTGCAAAATTTAAAAAATTTTTGACGAAAAAGCACAGAAGTTATGAAGCTTCGAACAAGGTGAACAAAAGCCTGATCCTCTACACACACTAAAATCCACACGTATTTAAAAAAACCTGAATTTTTATGCATTTTTCGACATATCAAAGTACTCTTACTCCAAAAATATAAAAGTCTTGAAAAGTTATTCCTTACTGATGACTATAACTTCTGTTCGTTATCTATAACAGTCGGGAAAGCAATATAAAGAAAGCAAATTTATGTAAATCACTATTAGAAGGTTAATAAACTATACTGTACTTAAGAATTAACTTTGTTTTTAATTCTATTCTTTTAAAATGCTATGCATGCGATTTAGTCACACGAGAACTTTAGCAATTATGTTTACATTATATTTGAAATTTTAATGAGTTTAAATGAAATTACGTACCAGAAAAATGCACGGGAGAAAAGACCAGCTGAGTCAAATGGATTATTTTTCTCTTTTTCATCCATTCTATATTAACGTGTTACTTCGTAATATCCTGCACCCTGCATCAAGAAAAATACTTGTGCAATATGTGTATATGTAATGACAATAATCTAATAAAAAAATATGTAAGTGTAGATATTTAACGGGGTATTTATATTACTGGCTGATGGATTTCATCATATAATAAACAGTGAGATTATCATTTACGTAAGAGTTTCATTGTGATTGTGTTGTTAGAGTATTTGTTAAATTTAATAAAAAAAATTCGAATTGTATGCAAAAGAATAAGTTATCTACAGATTTGTATATGTTATTATTATATAACTTGATATATATCTATATATATTATTAATACGGTGAATAGTTTAAAAGTATTCTTGTGTTTCTTCTATAAAACTTTTATATCGGTCACTTTCAAAATATTCTACACGTAACTGTTTACGGAGTGTCTATCAATCATCTGAAGTACCAAAAAGACAAACTTTAAAAGTACATTTGATACAATATTGTAAATACTAACATAACATATTAATGTTATTTATTATTTTTCCAGTATATTATTTATATTACAGTACTACAAAATTATTATTATTGCTTTAAGTAAATTATCTTCACAACATAAAACGAAAACATTTCAGTAAAAAATTGTATTTCTTCGATACAATTTACAAATAGCAGACGTGTAGACGTTCACGGTTATCTATCTGAAAATCAGTGGGTCCATTTGTCTGTCTGTTCTTAATCTACAGAATAGAGCAAGATATATAGAAATCTAGTCCAGATATGATATCTTCAGTAAGGTCGAAATTAATGGCCATTTTATTCGATATTTGCATTTACAGTATGTTTTTTTTTTTATATAAAACTCATTCCAACTCTCAAATTGAAGCTGTTTGCTATTTTATAATAATTAAAAAGATAAAATTTGTTATAATAAAATATCATCACAGAGTATGCCACAGGCAGTTTCAAATGTTGCCTAGAATGTTAAGGTACTCGTTAGTGCATTTTTAAAAAATTAAAATATGATTAAAATTGCAACCCGGTATTTTGACGATGTGATAAAAAGTAATTGCTCGTTAGAATTAAAGTATTTTGTAATTAAAGTGTACTTTGGTGTATATTACATTGAAAATCATTTATTAAGATTCATTTGAATATTCAATGATTTGAAAAACGTATAATTAATCTGATAATAATGTATAATTACTATAAATCAGATTGAAATAAATGTTTAGCAGAAAAAGGTCAAACAGCGGTCGTACACTTGATGTTTATATTAAAACAAGCTGCTGATCGGTCGGTTGCTGAACTTTTCTCAATCATTTTTTTATGCTATTTCGTCACTTATAATCGCTTCACTTACATTTACTTTTTCAGATTCATGTGTGAGATGTAAATGTTGTAGGGTAATTAACTCCTGGAATTTACGATATTTCTGAAAAGTTCTAGAAACTTTTACCTCTAATATCCAAAACCTCCTTGAAAAATTTATATTTACCGCAGTTATTAAGATTTAAAATAAGATAAAAAGATTCATGCCTCCATACACTATAAGACAATATCCATAAATAAACTATAAATGCTCGGCTTTATTGATTTTTTGGAATTTTAAAAGTCTTTTCAATTTAAAAGTAGAAAAGTCTTGATTGTCTATCCGCTTGTCGTAACTTTCCTCTGTTATAAGTTATAACTCATAACAAAGGAAAGTTATATCTCCAGGAAAAATAAGAAAGGAGAATGTAAACATTTTAAGTTAAATTTATTAATCTACTTATATGTTATTTATATACAAACGTATGAAATTTCTGATTATATAATATGTAAAAGATAAAATTATATTACCCGATTTTATTTTATTTATGATTTGTAAACAAATTAACTGAACTAGTTTCAGAAACTTGGGAATGAGTAAAGTTGAAGGATGTCATTAGTTATGGCCAAACAAGATCATATACTGTATCTTGTTTGCCATAACTAATAATCTTGTTTGTAAAATATTCTTGAATAAAAAGTAATAATGTTATGTATGCTCAGTGTCTATCTATGTACCAAGTTGTGAAGTAAAGATTAATATTATACATGTTTAAAAGTTGTTGAGTGTATTTATCATTGTTACTCATATTTAGCGCTTGTTAAGTGTTCAGTGTTTTACAATTCTCTGTTTTTGTTTTTGTATATTGCTATATTTAAACTTTGTCTGACTTTTTCAATTATTTAATATTTATCGGTCCGTACAAGAACAAAGTGATACGGATTTTTTTTATTTCCTGATGTGAGAATAAGTTGAGTATTTCTGGTGTTTTCATATGATGTTAATGCAACACATCTATAATGAAGGCGTTGTTGGTTTTGACAATTACATTAACTAATTTCTATTTCTGAAATATATCTATAGTCGACCCCCCTATAATTACGGTCCCAATAATTACGATTCCTATAAAACTGCGAAAAAATTGTGACGGTATCCGTAAAAAACAGTAAAATACTCCCTATAATTACCTCAAACGTCATCGGGCAGCCGAACTACTTTCCCGCCGTTTGTAACGCCACGCTACGGAGGGATTTCTATCGTCTGGACAGTATTATATAAATTATATATAAATTAGGTACTGTACATATAATTATATATTAATTATATATAAATTAGGTACTACATATATAATTATATATTAACTTATTGTAACTTTGTTATAATTAAATATAAAATTTCCGCCGTCTAGCGTGGCGCCACGCTACGGAGATTTTTACGCTAACTATCGTCTGTCAGTATGTAAATTAGGTACCGTAAGTCTAATACAGTACTGTAATTTTATACATTTCTTGTGAAAGAAACATTTCTTATTCAACGGCGATTAAAATTATTTATATTAATGATGTCTCCGAAGTTCAACGAAGTTTTCGCAGAAAAATAAGTTATCAGAAATCGGCCGTGGTTTGGTGTGCTGCTTCGCGACGAAAACAAGCTTTAGCAATGGGGTTGTCGAATGGGGCATACTCGGTAAGTAATCCTACAATTTTTTGTTTATAGCGTAGTTTATACGGATTACTTCCAAAAAAAATATACGTATTTTGGAAATGTTGAGACGGATTAGTCTAGAATCGATTAATTTTATGGATGAAAACCTTTCAATCAGCCGTAGTCCGTAAACTTTACACTTGTCGGGCTGTGATTGGAACGACTCATAAGAAATCGGATTCCTAAAAAATGGAACGTATCTATGATCTTATAGGGGGGTCGACTGTATATCAAACAGTCTATATTGTGGACTTCAACAATGCTTTCAAGCTCCTCTTATACTTTTACGGAAATATTCTATATAATTCGCAATCGTTTTTGTAAGTGAGTATTGGGTGCCATCGTTGCATTCATCAACAATCTATATTCTAAAACTTTATCAAAATTTTTCATTCTTCCCACCATTTGTTAGTATTGTTAGTCTCCAACCAAGAACTAATCATATTTTCTACGTCTTGATTATATCTTTCTACTGAGCCTTGACTTTGTGAGTGCCTGGGCTTTTTAAGAACCACTTTTAACTCAGGCCAATACAACACATTTCGTTGATGACATTATTGGCGAATTCTCTTCCGTTATCACTTTGTAAAATACTCGGGGCACTAAAGATTATAAAAATGTCTAAAAGAACATATATTGTTCTTTTAGACATATATCTAAAAGAACATATATTGTTCTTTTAGACATTTTTATAATCTTTAGTGCACTGAGTCTACAAGGGCAGACATCGTCAGCCCTTGTAGTTTTTAACGGTAGCAGTTGAACGAATTGACTCACATAGTCTTGATACAAGAGTATAAATTTATATTGTTCATCGGTTTGCCACTGCATATCTATAAGATCGACCTGACATCTCGACTTTATTTCATTACATAAAATTGGTTTAACTACCAAGCCTTTCCTAAAAACATTTTTTTTCTGACAGCTTTTACTTACGTTAAATAAATTATGATCATCTCCCTTATTATTCGTGACTAGTCTGTGCTGCTCTTAGAGAACATTTCCACATCGAACATGGACATCACGTAGTCAATGCAACAAACGTGCGATCGCAAATCTATAAAACGTTTATTCTATAGCTAATATTTTTGCGAAATATGTAGACTGTATTTTCTGTCAAAACATAAAACAAATGTAACCAAAATTTCATCTGAATTAGACAAAAATTGCAGGAGTTATGAGGAATTACATCACGGCTTTTAGCGATGATATTATAATTCAAAACATTTTATTTTCATTAAAGGTATTCTTACTCGTAATTTTTATAATTATGCTTATATAAAGGAAAATTAGTTACAATTTATCCTCGAAGCTGTACCACAACTGCAACTGACTCTAATTTTCTATATTAAATACAAAGCTACGAGAATATTAATATTACAAAGAATATTACAATAATCCAAGAAGACATGATACAAACTTCATCGAGCATTAGCTCAAATATTGTAAGTTTTAAACAGGAAATATGGCTGAAAGGTTTTCTGTCACCAATTACCTCAATGTCAATAATATACGGATGGCATTTCTTTAATCCCTGTTCATATGTCATACGAAACAACAATAATTTGAAAAAACTTCTAAACAGATTTTACTTATCTTTCATCGAATGTATGTACTGGATGCATTTCTTTATTACTTCTTGCATGACAATTCCTTTTCTGTCGAGTAAAACCCCCTGTATATCTTGGTATTCGATTGTCGACAACAACATCTTTGTCAAAGTGGGCATCAGTATTCTTGCCTTAGTGTTTGCAGTAATATTCAGCATTGTCAGAAGAGTAAAAGTAAATACAAAAATTAAAGTAAGAAATTTCAATTTTTTATACCAAAATCAGCTGTTTTCTATCATTCATTACATAGAAATTTCCTCAGTGATTTACACAATACTTATTACACTATGGCTTCAGCTGTTAAATATATTTTTCTTTTATCACGATTTGAAGAAAAACGAATTATTCAAGCTGGAAGCATTCATTTGCAGCGTTGAAGTTGGAATATGGATGAGTGTAATGAGTGGAGGGTTAATGTACCTCTGCTCTTTTATTATCTTGATT